TCTGTCTGTCTGTCTGTCTGTCTGTCTGTCTGTCTGTCTGTCTGTCTGTCTGTCTGTCTGTCTGTCTGTCTGTCTGTCTGTCTGTCTGTCTGTCTATCTTAACTCATCCGTCAATCCATCTACTGTATATCTAGACACACATATATAAATACCCGCGCTTCTATACTTTCGTGCCATATCTGGGTTCATACATTCGTGCACACAAGTAGTCGCTATACACATAAGTATCCTATTCCTCTCCTACCCTATCTACTATACATAGTACACGTGCGATGTTAGATGTAATGTCTACGATGATAGATATAAGACCATGGTAGGTAATGATTAAAATTATAGTCATGTATAACATACGCCGCAACGTCTTACATATTATAAGAGAGGAGGTAGAGAAGTATAGCGGGGGGATTAGGATTGAATGCTAGCTTGCTGGGTGAATGCGTGGATGGATGGGTGGATATATATGCGTTGATGATAGACAGACATGTCAATTGACATGTCAATGGATATGTCAATGGATATGTCAAAGGATATGTCAATGGACATGTCAATGGATATGTTAATGGATACGTTAATCGATATATCAATGGATATGTTAATGCGTATATGGATACATCAACAGACATGAATATGAATAGACATATAACACTAGATAAACACCCGGACCTAGAGCCTAGAAGCAGCAAGTGGGGACATCTAGCATGAGCATCAACATACATGCATCCCTATATAGTGTGATATTATAACAGGTAATATCAGTGATTAAGGAGCGTAGCTAATGGAATGGACAGATGGATGCATGCATGCATGCATGTATACGGTCAGTGAATAATATAATAGCCATACTTATCAATTGATTATAGTTGTTATGTGGTAATAGTCTAGTCCAGGCACGACAGAGCGCTTGGTAGAAATGAACACTACTCGGTCATCACACACGCAAAACATCTCCAAGTCTCAATCACAATCTCGAGACGTGTGTCAAATGTCCAAGTGTTAAGCGTCAAGTGTCACATCGGCGTCTCAAACGGCAGACGAAGCCAACAACGTGTGATCGCCGACCCGCCATCCGCTCGGACAACACCACAACCTGGTCTCTGGTCGTCCGTCGACCGGGATGGAGTAGAGTGGGGAGCGGCAGAGCCAGATAGTGTTCTGCGTTCTTTGACAATGGCCATTATGCCATGGATGCCGGTTGTTCGTTGCAGAAGCGCGGTTAGGTGTTATGTTATGCCTTGTAGCAGCCGCGGCCCAGATACAACAACAACAACAACAATACCACTGTACAATCTACAAGACAGCGTGCGTCGTCGATGTGTGTGCCATTGTCCTACCAGCCAGTCACACTGACTCGCTCGACCACAGATCCATCGGACTCCACCGCCGATCCCAAGCATAGTAGTCATGCAAAGATTCGGCAAGCAAAAGTCAATCACGACACATACACACATACACAGATAAAAGCGTGATGTGTGAATGACTGACTGACTAAGTAACGAATGTGTGACGCGTCTGGAAACAATGGAATCGACGCATAACAAAAGTCTGTCCTTTTCCAAGACCAAGAAGTCCAAGACCAAGACCAAGTTCCCCGCTGGGGGGAAACGCCAAGGATAGACGACAAGACAGATGGATAGACAGACAGAGAGACAGACAGACAGGGGGCGGAGGACGGGGATGGATGAATACGAAATGCTTACGAGATTTCCAGGGGTGGGTGATAGACTCGGAGGAACGAGGGTGTTGAGGGAAGGCGGTTAAGGTAAGGCACGGTACGTAACGAACAAGGCCGCGTCGGTCGGCGATGTCCATCCATGGCCTTTCTATGTCACTGTCACTGCCACTGCCACTACCACCCTGTTAGAAGGCCAGGATTGAGAGGCTCATCATTCTTTGTCGATTGCAAGGTGCCAAGTGGCATTTGCATATCGCTTCGGACCAATTCGCGTGGCCATCAACGGGTTTGGCGTGCGCGGCGTCGCAATTGGAGCGCCTCGCGAATCCCACCGCAGTGGATCCATACAGCCGAGAGATTTAGACGAACAGATGGCGACGGTTGGTCGGGATTTGGATACTTTTTAATGCCTTTTAATGCTGCTGCTGCTGCTGTACCATCCATGCCTGCGATGCGATGGATCGCTGCTAGGCGCCGACGTCGAGCATTGTGGACTGGATTATTGCTGCATCACCTCGCTCGTCTACCACTCAGCATTCAGCATTCAGTATTCGCCATTCAGCACTCGCCATTCGTGCACAGCCTATCCAGCTGTGCCCGGAGTCGAGTCGGGATTGACTCGAGCTGGGAGGGGGGTCGATTGACAAGTTGACAGGTCGGTTGCGCACACGACGTGACACGAGCATCGCCAATCCATGAGCTCAGCTTGTATATCGTATGGGATGTCCAGTGTGCCAGTGTGCGAATTGTGTACTGGATGTGCATCAATCACGAGAAAGCCACCATGGCATGGCAAGGTCTTCCTTTCCACGCCCCGTCTGACGCGTCGTCGTCGTCGGTCGCTTGTCGCAGGGTTGGCATTTACACTTTTTGGGGATGGATCTCTTTTTATCGATTGCTCGGGAACGCTCTGTCCAGTCAGCCAGCCAGCCAGTAGTACCCAGTCGCAGGGGTCCGTTGACGATAATTGTTCTTTACTTCTGCTTGGCTGTGTGCTTGCTGGTACCTGGTACTGTACCTTTTTCTTTTCTTCTTGCCTGCAGACGCCACACCCGGATGCTGCTTATGCTAATGGTTATCGTCATCAACCACCCTTGTCGCCGCCGGACGGGCTGCGGTACGGCGGCCATCGACAAGCTGCCGGCTGTAGATAGTTAGATGATAGATTGGCAGTAATTAGGTAGTAAGACTGGTGGCAAAGTGACATTCGTAGGAAGAACTATCGATGACATTTATATTGGACACCAGCGTGATAGGTAAGTAGCATGCTTTCATGATGGATGAGCCATGTTATTCTGTTCCTGCGTAGGAATCGAGCAGTGCATTCAATTGTGGATGCAATAGGTATTTGTAACTGGGCGCGTTCTGGGGCCCATGGGCAGCATCTCACTGCAGGGCAACATGACTGGAGCAAGCGGCCGGAGTGAATATACGTCTTTGGGCATTACCGAATGAGCATGCCGGACTGGGGTATGGGATTGGTACTATATGGATGTGTGTATATGTATATGTATTATCAATTCCCAACTATCAACAAAACACATCCATTCATCGGCCTGAAGTCTGGTGAAGTCTGGAGAAGGCTGCGGCTAAGCTTAAAGTTTAGCCTGGGAGACGCGCCAGGGTAGCCCGAGTGTTGGGGAGGCGTAGCGGCTGGGCTAAGCGGTGGCTCAGGGGGGAGGGAGGCTAAAAGGTAGTGGACGCTGAGCTGCAACGGGCACTACGACGACTGGGGCCGTCACTAATTTTACTGGGTCGGTCACTAATTCTTGGGGCTCTCAGGGCTCTTGGGGGCTGCTGCTCCCACTAATTTCTAGGCACCTGGGGGACTTGGGACAGGCTGAGCACTCGCGTAAAGTGGGAGGGGGAGGGGCCGCCATTTGGGAGGGGGCTTTTGGGGCTTGGGGCAGCGCCAGGACAGCGCTGTGCCCGCCTAGAAACGTTATTGACTGATTGGGTAAAGCTGGGGTCTGGGCGGCGATCTAGCCACCCCGCCGGCCGCCAACGCTGCCTCTACTTGCAAATCTCGCTGCCTTTTTTCGCTGGTGGAGCTCAAGCTCTACCATTTCAGCACTACTTCCTCTAAACTCTCTTGTTGACGCTTCCTCATGCCGATTCACTTACCATCGCACACCGTACACACCGTAACACAGATGCTTGCTGCTCATTGGCCTTTACATACGCCGTGTGCTGCTCGTCCCAAGCCTATGGATTCACTTCCTCATGGGGTCCCCACCTCTTCTGGCTCCACTGTCGTGTGCAATACGATATTCCTTTGCCCATACCTAGTCCCAAAGGCCTGTCAGTCACTCCTCATGCCGCACATGGCCTCCCGGTCGGTACCTGTCTGTAAGCATATCATATTATTACTTCATCTGCACCCTCCCGCTCTGTCAACTGCTGTTCGTCTGCTTTTGTGCTTTGCTCTCTGTCCCTCGCTACCTCGTACTGTCTGCCTGTCTGCCTGGACTATCCCTGCCTCCTGTCCATTCTACCTTTGTCCATATCAGTCTTCCCTCCTTTACCTGATACATCATACACACATTCTCTCGCTATATCAACACGGCCCAGCCGCTCTCTGTCTCTTCCGTGAACCATTATCACAAGCCGGTTTCATCTCCCCCAACATGCAATAACCCCCTGCCTGTAACGAGTCCTTCAAAACTGCCGACCCACGCTCGTTCTATTCTTAAGCAATATACGAAGAACATCAACGCCCCAGCTCCATGCTCTCACCGTCTTGCCCATCTAGTATACATTCTGGCAACATAAACATACAACTCGGTCTTCTGGAAGCGTGCTAGAAATACGAGACCCCCCATGTCGTCCGCGCTGTGAGGGAGGATAGAGAGATATCAAGATCGCCCGTTGGCTCTTGCATGATCAAATGGCAAACAACACCGCACTCCAGGGACTATGTCCTGCTCCGTTTATGCAGTCGATCAATTTTAACAGTGGTGGATGTACGTATGCTTTCTGTTCGTGACCTGTGGCCATTTGCTCATCACTCGTAGACGTTGACGGGAGGTTCTGTGCTTCTCTAGACGACGCAGGCACCATACAATGCTGCCTGCCCTGCCCGGCTACAGACTATCTGTACCCAGAAAGTGCGTACAAATACTCCTCCATACCAATCCCCGGCACTGACTGACTTGTTGTAGCATTTTCAATTGCGCACAAGGTTGCCGAGGCGCTCAGTGTTGCCGGTGTGGTCTTTTGCGTCTTTCTGCTGGCCTCGTTCATCGTGCTTCCGGCGGAGAAGACTCGCCGGCACTATCTTAGCTATGGGCTGGTTATCGGTGTGCTACTACTATCCGTGAGTAGCTGATCTCCTTGGTGTTCACGTTACGTGTACAAGATTCTGACGCCGTGTAGCTCGGGTTCGTCATCCCCCTGGGACATCGGCCGGAGCAATGCTTCGACGAGATCACGCCAAACGACATGTATAGCAGTCTGACATGTGCCTTTTCGGGCGCGTTTGTCGTGTCTGGAGGCGTTGCCATTACAGTGTGGAGTAAGACTGCTGTCCTGTCTTGACGTGGAGAGTGCTAACTAAAACCCCCAAGTCTTCATTCGAGCGCTGTCGATGCATCTGCAGATCTGCTGGGACGTCATGCCCGGCAGGAAGTTCTTCTACGCCGCGCAGGCATTGGGATGGGGCCTCATTGCCGTCATCTTCACCGTCACAATCACAATAACCGGCGTGTCTTTCCGCTTCGGCGAGGTGTGCCATGTCAACTCCATCCACTCCATGGCAGACTTCTGGGGCCCACTGCTGGGCATCGCAGGCTTGTCCATGCTCACCCAGACCGCCACGTAAGTCGTCGTCAGGTAGTAGTAACATTATGTTAACATCTAACAATTCCCCCAGATTCATATACTGCATCAACGTCTACCTGAGAAACATGTGGAGCGACGACGACGACGACAAGGCCGGCACGCAGAGCAGCGCCAGCGGTCTGCCCTCCTACACAACCAGCGTGCGCACCCGCTCCGCCCGCGCCGTCTACCGCCGCGTCAGCAAGGTCGTCCTGCTGCAGTGGCGCGGCATCCTCATCGTCGTCTTCGTCCTCGTCGACGTCATCTTCTTCGCCACCGTCTTCGTCTTCATCGACACCGCCGAGCGGACCCTGCTCAGCGACCTCGAGGCCCTGATCCCGTGGGTGTCGTGTCTGACGCAGAATCCGGATAATCGCGAGCGCTGCTTCGCGCTCGGCCAGTCGCTGTTTATCGACTTGCCCACTGTCATTGCGCTGCTTCTCCTTCTTTCTGTGAGTGGCCCCCTGTTTCTTACCCCCTTTTTTATATATACCCCTTTTTACCCCTTTTTATTTACACACCTACTAACATCAACCAGCTCGTCGGCCTGCAATGCTTCCTCCTCCTCGCCCGCGCCTCCATGTTCTCCGCCTGGCTGGCATTCTTCCGCCGCCACACCACCTCCGCCGCAAAGCGCGAATTCGTCTCTCTCGACGCCGCCCGCCACCGCTCTACCTCCGCATCCATGTACAAATCCACAGCATCACATAACAACCCGCACGCCTTTGAACTGCTCAAGGTCGCCCACCACCCCGGGCCTAATGCAGCGGTGATGAGCAGTAATAAGGTGGCGACGAGGGAGTGGTTTTCGGGGGTTGATGGGGATGCAAAGTACAGCTCGAACGACGACATATATATACACGACGATGATGATGTAAGCACGGCACATACCAGATCGCCAATGGATGCGGATGAAGATGCTGTGGATGTGGCTGTGGCTGTAGCTGTGCCAGCGCATACGTACCACAGCCCGCTATCATCATCTCCATCCTCTCCACCTCTTTCGCCATCGCTGCCGCAATCACCTTCGTCGCCATCCTTACGACCATCCTTACAACAACAACAACCATCGTTATCATCATCATCATCATCACCACCACTACGGCAAGCACAGCCGCAGTTACATAACTTTTCGAAACCCAGACCTTCTATCACTACTACCTACCATCAACAACAACAACAACACCAAAATCAACAACAACAACAACAATACCAACAACACCAACAACAACATAATCGTGTAAACAGTACTAATTGGGATCCGCGCTCTACGCTGGCGCGCGGTGGGCTGGGCCTGCATCCGCCTACGTCGCCCTGATATACCAAGCCGTGATCGTAATGGGTTGGGGGGCGGGGGTTGTGATGGATGTGTAGAGGTGAATAAAAACGGGGAAGGTGCGGGAGGGGCTTTTCAATGACGAACTGACTGAGTGACTTGTCTATACCTGTATAAAAAAAAGGGAGAGGAGAGACTTCTTGGCTGTTCCAACAAGGGGAATTAAATGTGAAAAGGAGGGAGGGGTGTGAGTAATGAATTGAATGAGCATGAGAGTGAGCGTGGGAATGCGTTCTGCTGTACGCTGCTTGTGCGTTGTTGCTATGTGCGTGCTTGTATACTCTGTACCATGATGTATGCGTGTGTGTGTGTGTTTTATGCATACTTGTACGTGTGTATATATATAGTATAGCGCTATGCCATGGTTTGATATGGATTCCTTCCTTCCTTCCTTCCTTCCTTAAACGTTACCTCCTTCCTTCCTTCCTTCCTCTTCTATCTATTAGATTATCATTCTATCTCCCCTCCCAAAACCCTCCCTTAGTTCTCCATACTATCCTACTATCCTACTATCCTACTATCCTACTATCCTACTATCCTACTATCCTACTATCCTACTAT